AAATTATTGGTTTAAATTTGTAATTATTAATGAAAGTTGATTCAAAATTTTCCGTAAATAAATTACTGAAAAATGGGGATAGTGGTGACTTTAATAATTTAATAAACTTTAATAACTCACTTTAATTTATTTTGCATTCATTTTTTCTTCAAAGAAAGAACCATTGTGACTGTCAATTCTACCCGGATGTTTCCAACTAAGACTAGAAATAAGCAATAAATTTAAAGTTTCTTCGAAAAATCGTTTGTTTGAAAATGTCACATTTTGCACGTTTACACAAAGTCTTTCCTTAGAGTTTGAAAACCAAACTTCTATTTGTTTTACTTCTTTGACTCTTAGCTGTTTTATATCGCGGTTTAATTGAACTTTCCAATGCCAAAAAAGTTATTGCTACCGCAGCTTTACTGCTCTAATTTTGCATAAAAACGCCAGGAATAACATCCATAAAAAAACATCAATAAAACGCTCATTTTATCATACTGTTGACGTACGGGAATGTCAAAACTCTCAGGCGTATTGACGGAAACTTGGACAAAGACAAGTTTTTTCCAACATACCTGAAAATCATTATGTGGGTTTCTCATCCAAGATCACTGAATTACTGTAAAATCATAAAAATGTTCTAATTTTTTAAGAAAACGCAATTTTTTGTCTCGATTCCGGCCTCCACCTACCATATTAGGCCGAGACCAAGCTGACCCTCAAACTTCATACGCTTTATGGCCAAAAGGAAAGTTATTGTCTCTCTCTTTTCAACATGCCGCTTTATATATACGGCAAACAAAGAAGGCATTCTATTATTGATTATGTGTCAGAAACACACTTCTGACAGTGACAATTAGTTGGGTTTTGTGATTGCAGTGATAAACATTGTTCTTGAAGAGGTTCGTCAGTGATTTGCAACGATTACAAGAGTAAAAATAGGTGAGTCCATCCTTGTGCAGTCGACAATAACAGTGAGGGCACCAGTTTTAGTCGGAAAGTTCATGAAACAGCGATTGTTCTATTGTGTAGTTATAGGTTAATGTCGAACAACGCCCCACAAGTGCTGTTTGATTGTTAATTTCCACATTATTTAACTGTTATTAGAGATTGTTAGTGCCGGATTTAAGGTCAGTGTGTTTCAATTTTCCTCCAAGCCCCTGGGGAAAAGAAGCCAACAGTCCAACTGTTCAATCTACATACCTACCTACACCTGTAAGATTTAATTTATTGATTGGGGTTTATCTGATTCCTCTTTATTGCTATCGCGTTTTCTAAGTTAACTAGGTGGGATTTTATCATTTTCCATTAAAGCAGATACTCTCTAAGTTGAGCCTGTTATAAGTAGGTTATCATTATTAGCATCATCAACGTCGTGCGGCAATATTAACTAGTTGGTAATGTTTTCGGTACTTATGTGTTTCTCCTTTCATTCCAGACCTCGTCCACAACTACAACAACCACAATGACAACGCCAGCCAAATTATATGGAAAGGATCTCAGTGTGTATGACGATGTCGATGTAGACACCCTTCTGGACAAGTTAACGCCAGAAGAAATCAATATTTTAGCCAAAGAAGTAGACCCAGATGTGAGTGAAACCCCTTTTCTTCAAGTCGCTCATCCTAAGAGTTGTTTAAATTATTCCAGGACTCATTTCTACCTCCTTCGCAAAGGACTAGTTACGATTGTGATAAAGAACCCACGGGACCTCTAAATAGGAAACAGTTAATTGAACATATTAATAAAGAAGCGATAGAAACTCCAGATATACCTGAAATTCAACCGTATGTTGCTGGTGTGGTGAGAGGCAAGAAAGTAAGTAAAATCTTTTTATTGATAAGCATCAAAAATCAAAATTCTATTCAACAATTACATTGAATTTGTATACCAAAATAAAACCTTTGAACTCTTTTTCCAGTGGACCCCACCACCGCCGCCACAAAAGGACATTGATGCGCAAGAAAAAATACAAATAGACTTAGGAGATGAATATGAACATGCTCTGACAAATGCATCGCAGGAAGAAATCATTGACCTGGCCGGTAAGAAAATACAGTTATTGTTTGAATGGAAATCAGTTTTCTGTTGGTTTTTCTAATTCTCATCAGTAAACCTAGTTGTTTCGGAGAATGCCATTTTAAACGTTTTATGGCTACTAAAAAGTAAAAGCTGAATTAAATTACTATTGTAGCACGCCCTGAATAGGCAATTAGTAGATTCAATGGGAATGTTGCTTTGCATGTTTTCCATTGATGGGAGAGTGAAACTATCGTTTTGATTTCTGTTGATTTGTTCAAAAGGCCTCGTTCAGCTCGGTTTTAGCCGAAATGTTTTTGTTGCATAAAGAACGCACCGCATGGTAACCCAGTTTAGATTTCTAGGTGATTAATTAGTTGCTCAATAAAATGTCTTATTATTATTTCACCAAAACGCCCGAATTTGTGAGAAAGTTGAATCTAAACCGTACGATTTCTTTTGGGGCAAATTACATTACAGTTCGCTTTCCTATTCTTTATATTTGGCCAAAATTACATTCTTAATTCACCATTTTCAATTAGTTTTCTTGGTTCCATGGTGGATAAATTAATTAATACATTTTTGGTAATTGTTGAGTTGCCGAGGAGCTTATTATAAGATCACACTTCTACGATTTTTTTGGCCCACGTATTAACAGGGATCTTCAGTCGCTAATAGAAATGATCTAATACCGCTTTTCAGTGCGGTACTTGTTTTTGTTATAATTAACACTTTATTAATGAATCATTAAATAGTTCCAAGACAAACAACGTTCAGCCTACTATGGCGCTTTGCGTTCACGATTACTTTCTTATTGAATAAATGTGTTTTTTCAGCTATTTTGGGTTTCCATTCGATGATGAACCAGGACCAATATCATGCGTCTTTGCTAAACAAAGGCCAGCCAGTTGGGCTGGGATGGGACGGGATCACTAAAGCCGCCAAGCAGAAAATATTCCCTATGGATCCTCCAAACAGTACTGATGTTGAGGATTCGATAAGACGAGTGCAAAATGACGATCCCAAATATATTGATCTCAATTGGAACAATATTAAGGTACGCATGGTCTTAAAGTTGTCCCGAAAATTCCCAATTTACTGGTTTTGCCCATTCAGTTATTGAGTAATACATTTAGATCTGAATCTATTTTTAAGCCCAGTTTTTTTTTTAATTAAATAGAATCCGCGAATAGTTTGCATGTGGTAAACAGTATCATCTCTGGCACGACACCAAAACCGTTCGCATACATTTATCTTGCCGAATTTTTACACGATCACCTATTAAATAATTTGATTGGCGTTCGAAAATGTGGCTTTTCACGACTATTGGATAACACCGTCATTAATCCTTGCAAAATTACGCAATTGTTCAAAAAATATGATTTAATCAATGAAACTGTTCAGCAATAGCTAACGAGCGCTTTTCGTTTGCAGAATATTTCCGACGAGAAATTTAACAGCCTCTTTGACGGTCTGGAACAAAACACTCACTTGGAGACGTTGTCCCTGTCCAATACGGGATTGACGGACCGAGGTGTGGACAAATTGGCTCAAGCGTTAGAGAACAACAGCCATGTGAGGGTGGTGAATGTGGAAAGTAATAATCTTACGCCACTGGGCGTTGTCAGGTTGATAAAGTCTCTGTTGAAGCAGACCAGTGTGGAGGAGTTCCGGGCAACAAACCAGGTAAATTTTAGATTTTTTCAAGAGTGTTAAGCAATGCGTGGAAAACCTTCCGATTTGTTTCTGTAAACTAACTGAACAAAATTGTATTTTCCAAAAAATCTGCACAATAAACGGGGTTGTTCCAAATCCATTGTAATAGTATTCAAAAGTAAAGGGTTTTCCATGTAACTGTAACTCTTTGATCTGAGAATGAGTAAATTATGTTTTTAAACTGTTTCCTACGCATCTTGGTGTGGCTAATGGAAATTTTAATTTGTTGCAGAGGACACAAATATTAGGTAACAAAATTGAGATGGAAATAACGCAACTAATTGAGAAGAACCCCACGATACTGAGGTTGGGGCTGCATTTAGAATATAATGATGCGAGACATCGAATCGCTACACATTTGCAAAGGAACATTGACACAAGTGAGTTCATTATTGTTTTATCGCAATCATTTAATCGAAGAAATCCAATTTAGCTCCACTAGGCTAATATTTGTTTTCGATTTTTCGAAGCCGATTGTCGGTTTTTAAGGTGCCGAACGTTTTATTTAATTGACGGTAAATATGATGTTGATTTTTCCCTTAACAGTCGTTACTACGCTGATTTAAAAAAATTGATAATCATGTGGTTTGATTGGATTGCATAAACCATGTCAGTGTGTGCCGATTTTACCTGAATGTTGTTCTTGACGTCAAATTTTGTTGCACGCTGAACTTAACCGAGTGAAGGAAAATGCCAGGTTTCTGTTGGCGGGCGTTGAGCCTGCAAAAGCAAAAGTTATTCTGCGATTTTAGTCACAGGGTAGAATATTGATTGTAGGTTTAAATTCAAAGGTTTAAGGTTCAAAGTTATTGGGGAGGAAAGTTATTAGAATCGTAGGTAAAGGGCATTTTCACATGTTGATGGTAGGTAAAATGAAGTAAAAACTTTTTTACTAAGTGAGTTAAACGCAAAATTGTGTGATTTAGGATTCTAGGATTTTGCATATGTTCGTTGGAAACTCACATAAAACACACACAGACAAAAACATCGCATACCATACGCATGCTAATTCAGAAAGTAGCTATTTTTCGCTCTTTTGACGAGGCCTAACTTTTTAGATATTTATACGTGAAAAACTACTGGTAGAAGACACCACCAGTAACATTTCCTGCGTTTTTTGTAAATCACCCATTTGTTACGGCTCGATCCTCAATCCACTTTTCAACGGCCGATCGATTTTTCACCTGCCTTAACTTCTTTATCTTTATCTTAGTGTTTTTAGAACCGCCAAAGACAATTTTCTAGTTTGGCCTTCGGGCCTTCATTGAATCAAGTAACAATTTTAACAGTAAACAGCTCGCTGAGTATGTTGAAGAAACAAAAAATAAAACATGTACTAATTTTGTCTGTGTGAGCAAAATGTCCACGAACAATCAGGACAAATCCGATGGAAATGACTATATGTATAGGTGCTGATAGCAAAAATTAATAATTTTTTTGAATAGGTTTGCAGGAATGAAATAACCCTAGTTCGGAAATCGTTCTCGTTCGTTCATTTTTTCGTTTTTCTTAAGGGTTAATAACGAAGCATTTCTCATAGTGTTTTTATCAGATACGACGTGGAATTTGTCGAAATTAAAAAACGATTTAATCCTTATTAGCCCCAGAAAATTGCCAATGATTCGATTAATTTTGAAACGGTAAACATCGTAGCCGTGAATGGGTGAATTGTGAAATAATCGCTCAGCTGCTACTCACTGTGACTAAATATCTCGTAATCGGTAAACTTTTCAACGGATTTACCTTGTTTGGGTCAAGCCGTTGCTTAACGCTTTGGTGGCTAATTATACAAATCTCGGACTTGATTATCACATTAATTGGTACTTGTTTTTATGAAAACTCATGCTCGGGAATTATTATTTTTAATAAGAATTGTGAGCAAAAACTACTAAAGTTTCTTAAGCGACTGACACTCCCACGGAAGAAATTCGACTGGAATGTAGCATAAAATCGCCATTATTTGTGTCATTCTTCAGTGAACCATCTCACAGTTGTATTTATTACATAAACCCGATACTTTGGTCCTTAATAATGGTATAACCTTTTTGCAATTATAGAGCGACAAAAGATTAAAGCAAAATATCAAATCCACTTGGCTGCGAAAGGAAAAGCAAAAATCGTTCGAACGGAATAGTCTCCTTTATAAAAAAATACGTTCACCCTGCGTCGTCAGATCCTTGTGAGTAGTTTTAATTGACTTTTGCCCGTTTTGTTGCTGCTATTGCTGTTGTGATCCACAAAGCCCGCTTATTAACATCAGGTCAATTATTGAATTCAATCTATACATTTATTAAAATTCCTCATATTATATCTAAATAGTTTTCCTGATTTTAATGATGAAAATACCAGCTTCAACCATTCAGCCAATAAAAAGAAAGGGACCTTTTCGAATTCACCTAAAAATCAGTTTTTTGGTGAATTTGCAACATCCCGCACATAAAACTAGCCCTAACCTTTGTGGTTTATTTGAATACTTGCGCTGACTAAAATTTAAAAAAAATGCGCTTCTAGGAGTCGTCAGCCAGAGAACTTTCTGATGCCTGATCAGTATTATTAGAAATACTAGTTTTTGTTGTAAATGCTCTGTCTAACCTTAACCTAGAGCTTTAGGGCCGTTCTATGGGTTTAAAGCGTTTGCAAAGGACAAATTATGCCCAGTCTGGCTGAACTGCAAATGTAAAACTCGGCTCAGCAGTATGGATTATGTGTGTGTTTATACGTTACGTTTTTAGCTATTTTGGCAAGCAAATAGCGTTCTAAAGAAAGGGATGAACCTTATCAGCGCAAGAACGGGGCTGAATATATTATCCCCTTGCGCCCATTAAATTCTGAAAGAAGCCGAAATCACGCAGAAAATCTTATTTAACTTTAAAATGAGATTTCCGGCTAACATATATATGCTTTCCGGTTTTATTATGAGAAATCATTCGATTCTTTTCAACTGATTTATCCAATGGGCCCCCCTTTCCAGGGTGGATTCAGGCGAATCTCTAAATGTAAAGCAGTTACCGAAAAGACACATTTTTTGTCAAGGGGATGGATTAGAAATGATTGTGGACCGGTTTTGCGGGTAAATTTGCCAAATCAATGCAAGAAATTGATCCGCCAACAGAATATTCCAACTGTAATTGACATGTCTTTGTTCGGGAATGTTCAACGTTCTTTAAAACCGTTAGAAGCGATCGCTTTTTAATTAACTTTGTAATCTCCTGTTTGCGTGTTATCAACTGAAAAGATGCAATTGACAATGGAAAAGTCCGATTTTGCCTTGTTTTCACGGCACAACAACCCCCATTGGTATTAACTTCGAGCATTTTTCAATCTTGTGCCCGATTTTCGATTTCCTTTCCGATGCCTGAGCATTATTTTCACGTTCCTGTTAGAAATTTTTGGCGAATTTCACAGTCATAAATTATAAAACGTTGATGGTCCGGATGGTTATGAAAACCCAATGGAGGTTTTTATTTCGGAGCTTTGCATGCTTCCTCGAGGGGCATATAAACCATAGTGCTGAGCGGAGATTTTATGATGGACGTGAAGTGCAATGAAGTGCGCTTTATATCAACTATTTTGCCGTTGAAATTGGCGGAAAATTAATTTTTCATTTCAAGTTGCCCCCATTCGCCTACCGAAAAAATGGATTTTTATAACAATTTGATTAATTTCCACGCAATTTCCAACGGCAAAATTGGAGCACTTCATGCGGCGGAAAAAGCGTTTACAAAGCGAAAATTCATGATAGGTATGTGGTGGTTCTTCGCATCCAGACTCAAAACAAAATCAGCTCAAGGATAATGAAGACTACAGTGACAATAGGCAGAGAGTGAGTGTAATTCACTTTGAGGTGAGATGCAAATATAGTTAACTGTATTTTTGACGTCGTATTACGGTTCTGGGGTTTCAAGCACGGT